TAACAATGGAGTTACTTAAGTTAAATATTAAATCTTAACCAGGTAAATTTAGTGCAATATCTCGGACTACTCTAAGTTTCTACTCCTTTAGCTTTTGCCTAGGGGCCTGCAAATATTGCTTGTTCTGTATGTTAACTCTTCATATGTATAAACCTTTATTACTGTGCTAATTCCGTATCCTCCACTTAACCTTAGTCATGGGGAAGTGTCCTATGGTCTCTGCAATACAATATTAGTAGCTGACAGGAACGATCAAGCTGCCTCTTCGTTGACAGTTAATTTTTATTTTATTTTTCCCTGGTGCATTAAGCAGTCGGACACCAAGGCCTGCCAGTGGCTGTTTAATATTTGATGTGCTCATAAAAATTTTAATTATCACCTCTGAATGAAGTTTTATCTATAGTTGTCAGAAAATATGAAACGTGGCACTAGAACATAAATTACCTCTCTCTTGATAATGTTTCTTTTCAAACAAGAAAAATGAAATGTTGGATGTTCAGTCAAGGGCAATAGAATACTGAATTCTCCCCTCCCTCCTTCAGAAAGGGAGATTTTAAAGAATGCAGGCAGCTGGAGTGGAAGATCTGTCATATGCCAGCTGAAATCAGGAAACAAAATTAAGGGCTGATATTTAAATAATGGGTGTTTTTAGACAGTGCAATCTTGAAGGTGCTAAAAAAAATCTTTGTTTAAATATTTAGTAATATCCGTCAGAGTGGGAGGGGGTTGTTTTGTTTGACTGACCAAAAGCAGGTTTTGCAGATGCAATAGAGTAAAATGTATAAATTCCTTCCTGTCCCAGTGGTGTGGTTAAAACCATCCTTTGAATATCTGTGGCTGACTACTGAAAAATTTGGAGTGAATTTTTAGGGCCCAGTTCTAGTGTCAGATTTCTGTAGCTGATCCCTCTGTATTTATGCAAAATACCTTGGTTTTCAGGTGATTTTTAAGCCAAGCAACTGCTTTTGTTTGAGTATGCATCAGAGAGGCTTTTCTGTAGGTGTGCAACATCAAAATTTTGAACAGTAGTGTCGAAAGTAATCTAAGTGCCCTGGAATTGCAGCGTTCCCTCAAATTTCTCTTGCCTTCTGAAGGAGCTAGATCAGGGATCAGAAATATTTTTGGGAAGTGCCAAAAACTTGACTTATAAGATGTTGGTGTGCCCCCGGGGTGGATGGCAGGGGAGCCACAATGAGTCCGATCCTTATTGTGTTAGCACAGCCTTGGCTCCTTCCCTGCCGTCCACCGAGAGGCGTGCAAGCACCCGCTACCAGCAGTGAGCTGGGCTGAGGCTCTGCAGACCTTAATGCGGTGGATTGCAGCCTCCCTGTGGCCTGCTGCGAGTAGCCCAGGCTCTGTGGCAGGCAGCAGGGGCCTGCCCAGAATGGGCCAGCTGTGGCAGATGACCAAGAGGCTGTAAACTGCTGTGCCAAGGTCTTCAGAGTCCCCGTGTGGCTTATTGCTGACGGTGGGTGTGTATGCATGCCTCTGCGGGAACAGCAGGGAAGCTGTGAGGGGCCCAGTCCTTGTTGTGTCAGTGCAGTCCTGGCCCCTTCCCTGTTGTCAGCTCCATGGCATGTGCGCCAAGCAAAATGCTTTCTCATGCCACACTCTGACATGCGTGTCAGGGGTCGCTGACCCCTGAGCTAGATAAAGGCCAGTGTGTCACTGCTTCTGGAAACCTAAACCTCATCCTTTCAAACTTTCAAGAAATCCATGTCCCCTGACTGGCTGTCTTGACACTGGAAATAAAAGCACCACTTGCTACACCAGAACTGCTGTCCATAACAACTTGAGGGCCAGTGAAATTGCACCAGGTGTTCTGTGCTGTGACCTGTCATTGACAGCTCCATCATCACATCTGGTATCGGCATCCAAACAAAAGGGCAAGATCAAAAGGTACAGCTTGAAGGAACCGAGACACAGATCCAGATAGCAAGAAATGCTGTCCCTGAAGGAGATGAGGTATTGATCTTCCAGAGAGAGTTTTAATCTTATTCTTTTGCCAGTAGACCTCTGCAATCCTGCTCTAGATCCAGCACTCAGCATTGACCACTCTACCGATTACAGGCCTAATTGAGACTCTCAGAATGCCACCTAAAACTGGTCTAGAAATGCCTTTGGCATGTTGCTGATGTATGTTGCCAGAAGCAGAGCCAACATATTACCACACAGTACTGGCACATGCCTCTCCTAGTTCAGGAGAGGGCCTGAGGTAGCACTTGATCTGCATCTCACAAGGTGCTGAACCAGCATGCCTCTGTTGCACATACCACCCTATTAACCAGGCATTGAATCTGACAGAAATGGCAAAGGTTACAGGAAAGTTGATCAGAGCTAGCAACTACCTGTTGGGAAGTGGCTTGCCCTATTCAGTCAGGCTCAATCCACTGTTGGGTCTAACACATGGGTGTTGGACATGGTTTGGTTCCGGGTTCAAAACTGTGTTGTCCAAGGTAAGTTCCAGTTACTTGAAACAAACCCCACCCCGGCGCCTACCTCACCTTAGAACTTACTACAACTGTAGGCACATGTCCCTTCATGGTTAAGCCACTTGATAGACTTCACCTATGGACCTACGTCTCGTGTAACTTTTTGATCAATCTATTACCTATCCCTGCAGTGGGGCAAAGGCTTGATGTACACCTTACCCAAGGTAATCTTCAAGATTGAGAGAGATGATCACAAACATCCTGGTAGTTCCATACCATCTAAGACCATTCTTGCTAACAGGCTTAATACAATCACTTGTTTAGTGACAGCATCCAACTCCTAGATTGGGTGGATTTGATCTCTTAGAACCACAGCCAGAACCTCTATTCAGATCTGAAGGCACTGCCCGGAATGGATGGACTGGCTGTTTCACTAAGCTTTGTTCAAGTTCACCTTCATTTAAGTTCAGTTTGTCGCCTCTATGGTTGTGCTTAGTTTTCTTTCACCAAGTGATATTAAAGCTTTTTTTAAAGGGCCACTTCATGCCTACTTGACTCTGAGAATCCACTGTAGCTCAGGACCTCAGTTCAGGTCTCCTGAAACTCAAAGGAGCCTCTACGTGAAGCTCCCTCAGAGTGTTTTCATATCATCACACCCTGAAGCTGTTATCCTGTTTGTTCTGATGCAGAATAGTGAGTGATGCCAAGGTGTCCATGGCTCAACTCTCAAACTTCTCATACAACACTTCAGAGAAGAGAGATGATGCAAAGGTCTTGCCTGAAATGGTCTCAAAAATTTTCCTGACCCAGTTCTTAAACTTAGCTGTGTTTGTTTTTTGTTTTTTTTTTTTTTTCCTCTGAAGTTACAAGAAAAGAAAAGGCACATAACATGCTAGAGGTATCCAGATTTTATTTTTTTATGACGTTGTCAAACTAAAGCAGTGATTCTCCACCCGGTTGTTATGAGATCCTTTTAAGGATGCCACTCAGTATTAGTAACTCGTACACATTTCACAAAGTAAACCCAGAGATTTTGAATAGGAATCCAGTGTCAAAAACATTCTGACCTGTTGTGATCTCTTTGAGTTCTTTGCAACAGAAGAATTGCTCTGTTAGTTTTCTGCAGTCAAAAGTGACTGAAAGCTAAGAGTTAAAGAGTTAGCATTTCTTGAGAGGTACCTTGAGACTAAGCAAGTTGAGAACCACTGGACAAACACATGGGGCATGCCTACCTGTTTTCCAGCTATAGCCTTGTTCAGAGGCGAAGAGGCATAATCTAGTGCAGCTCTTTTCTTAGCAGCCAATTACTGTTCAATTCATGGAGCTGGAACTCCTCATGCCTACTTTCCTGAGGTGCTGTTTTCTATCTGCCTAAAGTTTGGATCCACAATGATCCATACTCAAAAAGGAATGGATTCTAGGATAACTTATGTTGTTAGATGTTGTTTGTGTGGATATGGCAACCTGCCCTCATTTCAGCTTTTGGGAGTCCTTGGCTATCATGGGCTGGGGCTTGTGTGGAAACTGAAGGAGGGCTGGCTGCTTTGACAGAGAGACCAAGAGCATCGACCTCACTCATGAAGTGCCTGCAGATGTACAGTAGGATCCACACTGAGAACATCTCTAAGGATTGTAGGTACTGTGTGGTCAGCAGCTGTTCTATTTTTAATCATTGGTATCTGGGAGTGGTATGGAGCCATTAAATATTTAAGTAGTTTGATACATCAAAGTTACATGGTTGGAAAACATTCTGCTGAATCCTTAAAATTCTTCTTTTTGAACTGCAAAAATCCATTGCCTTTCATGAACAGAAAAAAATAACACTGTCTCAGAACTGGAAACTGTTTGCTCCAGAGTCTTTGGAGGTACTTTCTGTTGTACTGCTAACTCCAGCCAAAATACTTGTTGCTGCATGTACAATTGTACATCTGATTTGCACATGTATTTATTGCAGTTGCGCCTGTAAATTGAGTAACTGTGTATGCAAATAGTTACGTGTCTGACAGCTTTTTTGCATAATTACCCAGGTTGCAGCCCATGATATCAGTCCCCAAATGTTAGTATGACTAACATGATATGGTTTCAGTGTATTTTTTGGAAGACTCTTACAGATTAAGAACTTTGAGGCCTGACATTTGTATTTGTAACAGGCATTGACAGTTAACAGATAGACAGTAATGATCAGAATTAATGTATTTTGATGATAAGCTCTGCTGCAGTGAAATGCAATAAAGGATCCAGTTTGTTTCAGCCCTTCATAATGTGCAAATTATATTTTTATTCACAATCCTTAAAGTGAAGCTATCTCAAAAGTGCTGTAAATCTCTTGCAACATAATGGAAGGTGGTTAAAATATTTTAATGCATTTTAGTGTCTTCTAGCAACTTAGGTTAAATTGGTCTTGGAACAAATGCACGTTGCCTTAGTCAACAGTCCAGAAAGTGGCTAGATGTTGGCTAATGTCATGTCACCAGGAATATGCTAAAATCTGCACAATTGTGTTTAGCTATTTGAGATGTCTTGCTTTTCCTCTTTCCATGATCTCATACCTGTTTGTTGAATTCACAGGTGGCCGTATGCTGTATCTGTTTCTTTGTCATTCTTCCATTGAACCTTGTTGGTACAATTCTTGGTCGAAATCTGTCAGGCCAGCCCAACTTTCCTTGTCGTGTTAATGCTGTGCCTCGTCCAATACCGGAGAAGAAATGGTAAAGAGAATCACTTGTAAATCATGTGTAATCACTTGAACTTAAATGTCTTCAGAATTGTTGTTGCATTGTGATCACCGAGCATTCTAGAAAAGCATTTCAAATTTGCTTAAATCAAGAGTTGGTCACCAGAGGAAAACTTCTATCAAAACTTATTTGCATTATTTCTCTTTAAAGAGATGCTGAGTAGATTGGATGTCTACTGGTCTTTTATCCACCCCACCCCCATTCCTCCCAGTTTTTGGGTCACTAGTTTGTATTCTGTCTAATTAGGCAGCGATTGATATGGAAACATTTGACTGTTCAGTTTCCTATTTTAAAATGAGTGGTTCTAATCCTGTTTTGACAGACAGGGGTCTGTAGAAATTAAGCGTCCTCATCCTTGATTATCATCTTTTGCTGGATTTAGGATTGATTAAGCCTCAGAGACAGAGCTCTTATTGATCAGAGTGAATTTCTTCAGGTTATGGCTGAGGTGTGCTTGCAGGGTGTTGTGGAGAGGGGTTGGGGATGCAGCAGGCATTTCATCTGTCTGTTCTGTACATAAGATGTGGATAAATGGAGCTCTTGAGTTTCTAAGCCATAAGTCTGGCATTGCCCTTAAGTCTTGTTTATTTCTTAACTGAATGTAAAGGGATGAACAGTATCAAAAATTGTTTTTGCAGCTTGTAGCACAGGGGTAGGCAAAATATGGCCCATGGGCTGGATCTAGCCTGCTCATGGGCTGGATCCGGCCTGCGGCTGCCTCTGCAATGCTCCACATGGGGCTGAGCCCCACCCATTCCCACCTGGGCAGCCTGCACCGGCACTTCCCCCAGCCCTGGCTCCAGCCAGTGCACAGCTTCTGGTGGGGTTGTTCCCAGTATGGCTGCAGCTGGCCAGATGTTCCTCTGCTTCTCTCACCACCAGGGGGAGTAGCCAGGCTGAAGCTCCCAGACCCTGCTCCCCCACCCCAGTCTAGAGCAGTGTAGCAGGGGGGCAGGAGTAGAAGGAGGAGTGGCTGCTGGAGGCAAAGGGAGCACAGCAGCACCTGGCCGGCTGCAGCCACACCAGGAACAGCCCCACCAGAAGATGCACATGCTGGCTGGGGCCGTCTGGGCAGTTCTGCTCCCTTTGCCTCCAGCTGTGGCTCTTGCTCCTATGATGGCGCAGTGCAGTATGGTAGGAGCAGCAGCAACAACTACAGCTGGAGGTGAGGGAAGCAGAGCAGCCCGGCCAGTGTGCAGCCTGGCC